CTCACTCACTAGCTCTTCTTCCTCCAACCTTGCCTGAATGAGGTGGCCTTAGAGTTTTTCTTTTTCTACAAGCACTTGTTAATCCCACACACTAATAAACAACTTCCAAATAGACAACTTCTTTCTCTACATTGAGCTTCAGACTTGTATGATTAAGGACCTATGAGATGGTTCTGGCTAGAGACGGGACTGCTTGGAGCAGGTGGGAGTCCCAGGCCTGAGGGACGCATTCCTTTTTTGTTGTGTTTGCAAATTTCTGTGTATGAAGTCTTCCACTACAGATGATTTTAAGCTTTCAGTGTTCTATGGGGTTCAATGTCTCCTCCAAAACTCATGTTAAAATACAATTGCCACTATAACAGTTTTAAGAGATAAGGCCTTTAAGATGTGATTAGACCATGAGGGCTCCACCCCATGAATGGATTAATGCTGTTATCATGGACTGAGTTCCTGATTTAAAAAAAAAAAAAAAAAAAGGATGAGGTGGGCATGATTTTTCCCTTTCTGCCTACTGTGTGCTCGCTTGTCCTCCATGTCATGACACAGTGCAAAGGCTCCTGCCAGATGCCAGTGTCATGATCTTGGACTTCCCAGGCATTAGAACCATAAGCCAAATAAACTCATATTGATTCTAGTTTATCCAGACTGTGGTATTCTACTATAATAGCAGAACACGGACTAAGACACATGGAAGGGCTGAGGTTGTGGCTCAGTGGTAGAGCGTTTGCCTGTTAAATGTGAGGCACTGGGACTGATCCTCAGCCCCACATTAAAAAAAAAAATAGACATATAAAAAGGGGGTGTTGTGTCCATCTACTAAAAATAAAATATTTAAAAAGGCACAATGGGAAGTCACTGAATGCAGAGTTAGTGCCCAGGTGACCCTTTTGAGCAGATGGAAGTTGACATCTACCACTGCTTCTGCCTGTGTGTCCGAGGGTAAAAGCTCTCAGACATTGCTTTTACCACATGACAGGAAATTAATTTTACAACAGATATTTACATATATATGCAATGAAAATACAAGTTTGTGGGTCAACACTTTACCACATGTGATGCGCTTTGAAATTTATCATGTTTCATTTCATGGCGGGGGGGGGGAGGGGAGTGTGCCTCAATGAACCACATAGACTTCATAATCTATTAATGGCCCAAGGCCTACAATTTTAAAAACATTATCCTTAGAGCTTTCAAATTTAGTATATGCAGAACTGCATTTGTTATCTCACTTTAACAACCTGTTCATTTTCCTTGTTTTCTTTCATCAACTAGGGGCTTCATCATCTATCTGATTTCCCCAGCTAGAAATCTCAGGACCATGTGGGACTTACTCCCCTTCTTGATCTTTTGTATCCGTTTTGGCCTGGTTTATACTTTCAATCTCCATTCCAATGTCAGTATCCTGGTTGCTTTTTTTTTCTCAATTCATCTTTTTTTTTTTTAGTATAAAATTATTTTCTAAAAATAAGAATAATACTCCACTTTAAAACTCTGATATGCCTATAAATATTTATATAATTTACTTATATGCTTATAATTTTTTTCATTCATTCTGAAAGCATTTATTGGGTGACTGTTAGTGTTAGGCTCTATACTAGATGCAGAGGAATAAAAATGATTCCTGTTCTGGAGATGCTCACTGTCGAAACTCAGCTGCATTGCTCAGAGGACTCTTCTAGTAGCTCCAGTTCACCCTTTCACTCCTACCTTCTTCTCTGCCTCATCCATATACCCAATGCCAACATGGAGACCTGGACATTCCTCAGGTGTGCCATTCACTTTGAGGCCCATGTGCCTTTGATCACGCAGTCCCATTTTCTACAGAAAACTCTCTTTTTCTTCCAGATTAACTCTTACTGATTCTTGAAAGCCTTTTTCTTATGTCTTCCTTTTCACAAATTTCTAATCTTCAGAAGTTTTAGATATTTATTTAATGTCATCATGCATATAGTTCAAATTTTTCAAAAGTACTAAAGTACTAAAAAAGAAAAATGAGCCCCCCACTTTAGCCCACAGTAACCCTAACCCCAACTCCAGTCCCATTCCCCAAACTCTTAATGATTTATGTTTTAAATTTCTGGTGGGTATTTTCCTATTTTCAAAAGAGCCTGATATGTCATTATTTCTTGGTGTACCATCTTAGGCCCTTCCTATCCAATTTCTTCTAGGCAAATCAAAGATTTAGCTCACATACATTCTGGTCCCTCTGCTCCTGAGAGAGATCCCTCTCTATGCCCAGCCCCCACTGTTCTCTTCTCTGCAAAGTTGCTGCACCTGACCTTGCTGTCCTCTTCTACCCACCAAAGACAGTAGTATCTCCTGATTCTCTACTTTCCAAACTGAGCATCTTAGTAACCCAACCTTCTCTCCCTACACCTACAGCCTGCTACCTACTTTTATTTGCACATTCAAAAAATTAATCATTTTTGACCAACATTTTGCCTATAGTCACATTAATTCTTCTTTGGCTTATTTATAATGTGATTGTAAAGGTTATAAACCAATAAGCAGTGCTGCTATGATTAGACTGCATAAAACCTGTTCCTGTAGCTGAGCACAGCCTTCTAGTCATACTCCCTTCTCTGGGCCATTTGGAGAATATTCTTAGATTTCAGGTTGAAATGGGGTCTCCTGTTTGAGATACTCGCCATAGGTTCAGATCAATCCATCATAAGCTGCATCGGGTCTTTTCTGGATGTTTTCCTCTTGCAGTTCCTGGATTTAATTTTAATTGTGTACTTTAAAGTGGAAAAACATAGCCCCAATTTTTTTCTTTGCATTCCATCACCATGTGATAATCTCAAGGATTTCCATTTACCTCCCTGAAGCTTTCCTACTCCACTCAACGATGAGCTGCTTCCCAGACTTACACACAACTGCCATCCTGGGTCTTTACTCTTCTGCTCATTCTGGTTGGAGCAGTTTTTTTTTTTTTAATTAGATCCCATGCAATGGATCCCATCCTTGGTTTCCACACCTTTCCTAGGACAATTAACTCACTTCACTGAACAACCACCTTTATGTGTTTACCTAGATAGGGTAGTACTTTGGGTGTTTTTAAATTTTCTTATCCTCCAGACATGAACTTTTGTCTTCTTCATTTGTGAAATGGTACCTGACATGCAGCTGGTCCTCAATAAACAGTATTTAAGTAAAACTCCACTGAGCACATTATTGTATTTATATTCAATATATTGAATGAAGCAAAAAGCAACCACTTTTACTTATACTAAATAGTAAGTAAGTATTGGTGTCAGTGGAGATACTGGCAGAAACTAAGAAGTAAGAAGTAACTCCATAACAAATCAACTTATAAACACAACTCCACTTTTTCTTTACCACATAAAATTTTAAAATAACCCACATCAAATTCACCTTTAATCTGCCTGTGTTGACTTGTCTTTTTGGAATGTGAGGAATATTCTTTACTAATTCCATTTATTAGGATTGCCAGATATTGCAGGAAGCCCAGTTAAATTTGAATTTCAGGTAAACAACAAATAATTTTGTAGAGTATATCCCAAATATTGCATAAGACATACCAAAAAGTTATTTGTTGTTTATGTGAAATTCAAATTCAACTGACAGTCCTGCATTTTTTTGTTTGCTAAATCTGGGAACCCTACACTGGGCATCTCCTCAGGTATTAACCTAACAAATGCCAATCACTCTGAGATTCCCGTCCCAGAAAAGTAATCTGATGATTGTAGGAGATGGCATGTTGCTGGCAGTAAGAGAGGTGAATAAAATATTTTCTTATTGTTTTCAGGACTGTTCCTCAAAGCCTTGAAAGTCTCCAACTTCTTGGTCTGGTCTTAAGATCAATCAAAGATGGGCCTTAAGAGTTCTCTTTGGTGGGGTATAATGTACTCTTTGAGATTAACATTCTGGGGCAGTTTATCACAGGGGGCTCTAACAGGAAGTACAGTGAAATTGTCACCTAAATTTTCATTTATGTTATGTTTAAATAAGTCACTGCTTCTTTGCAGCCATTAATATTAGATTCCACATATTGAGTGAATGTTTCCCATGTGCCAGCTTTTGTCCTAAGCATTTCACATGTAGTGGCATTTCATTCTCAGAAGTTATGTCTGACTGGTTGATTGAATATCTGTGTTTTACAGATGAGAAATCTGAGATAACAAACTTGCCCAAGATCACACCACTGAAAAACGAAAGGAGCTACTAGCCTTCTTACTACAGTCCTCAGAATAAAATTTACAAAATAATAAATAAATAAATAAATAAATAAATGTCATCTGCAGTTCTGTCACTTTGCCAATGACAAACTACTATTTAAAAAATACAAAATTTTAATAACACCACACATAAATCACAAACTATTTTACCTGAGTTTCTGACTAAAGCTTTAAATGTGACTAAAGCTTTTATTAGAAAGCGGATTGAGGAGAAAACATTGGAAAATGAAGGAGTTTCAGTTAAATCTCAAATAACTCCCGGTTAAACTGGGCTGTATTGTAAATGTCCCCTTATAACAGCATTTTCCCCCCACTCACAAATGCATTTCCTTTGCACAAAGAAAGGAGACTGACACCAAGGCAGGCTTTCCAAGCTGCAGCCCAGTCCACACAATTTCCAAACTGGTCTTCAGTGTGCAATGTACGTACAAACGGGATGCACCGTGCATTTCAGATGACAGATGAGCGCGGAATCATTTAGTGATCTTTGTGAATTTAGAGAACAGATGAAACTAGCAAGACAGGCTTGATGTGGATGAGTTAAGCAGGAAACAGATCTAATGAGAATCTAGTGTGTGAACAGTACATCGGGAGCTTAGCACTGTCGGAGGCACTGCGCGGACCCATCCCGAGGCGGGGGAAGCTCCCGGAGGGTCCAGGTTGCGGGTTCCCCAGCAAGGGAGTGCAGAGTGCACCCGAACAGGCTCACAAGCCAAGCGGTAGCTGTTTGTGCGAGGCCCACGGCCGCACGCTCCTCCCTGTCCCTCCTCCTGCCACGCCGGGGGAGGAGAGGGTCGGACGATAGGGCGGCTCAGAGGGCGGAGGGCGCAGTGACCACAGTGACAGCGGATAGCTAGAGGCCAGTAGTGCTGGCGGCGAGAAGCAATCGGATTTGGTGTGTCCTGAGTCCCGTCTGTCTACCCAGGGATCCAGGTTTCCGCAAGTGGCACAGCGCAGCGCCAGGTGAGGAGGGGTCCCCAGGGCGGGTGGGAGCCCCAGGAGAAGCGCGGGAGCGTTCCTCTAACGCAGACTCCGGCTGCGCTGGTGCGGGGAGCCAGGACCGCCGCTCGCCCGGGCGGGCTAGGGGGAGCTGCAGAGCCCTCCAGCTGGTCCTGGGCGCAGTCCCTGAAGCTCTAACTAACTGAGCCACACTTGTTTCCTCGAGGTTAGTGGCGGATCCCAAGCCTTTTTCGGAGGAAGTAGCCCTAAGTATACGGTGCTAAGGGGGAGAATCTGGCTGAGCGAAGCGGGAATTAGAGGAGTTTTTTAAATCCACAGATCTCCTACGGAGACCGGCGCGCCTACACACACTCACACACCTTTCGGGAAATTTTTCTTTCGGAGCCCATTTCCAAGAAGCCGCTGTAGGAACAAAGTTACAAAAGCAAAGCAATACAGCCCCTGCCTAGATCATCCCACTCCCTTCCAGATAAGATAAAGGTGTTTTGTTTTGTTACCTTGAGTCAGAGATGAGGCTCGTTTTGCAAAAGGCCAATCAAAAACAGATAATAGAAAACATTGTCTTCTTCATTATCTCCTGGAACTTTTGATAGAAGTTTCTGTCTCCTCAACTGGAAAAGTTTGGACTTTCCTTTGGGCCTGTGGGTCTCAGAATTTCTGCACAGGTGGTAAAGGAGGAAGGCAAGTTGTATCTGACTCATACATAGGGACTTGCCACCTAAAGGGTGGCATACAGATTCAGGTTTGGGAGGCATATGTTAACAAATCAGTCTTGCACAAATGACCTTTGACCCAAATGAGAATGCTGAACTAGGAATCTGGTATATGAGTAGGAGCTGGAAAATGTATTCCCTGAAGCTTTAACAATCTTGGAGGTTCAGGGCATTAAGTATTTGGGGCTAACACTGAACTTGGGGATCAGAGCGTTAAGTATTGGACTGGTCAGTAAAAAGATGGCCTTCTAGCCATGAGGCACTTCAGAATTTCCAGCATCCGGGCAGATTTTCTCACAGAGGAAATTCTGGTGACCTTGCAGAATGTGGTCCTGTAGAAGGTGAAGACACAGCCTGCCACTTTGCATTTTCCAGCAAGCCACCTCAGCACCAGGCCCTTGGGTATTGAGGGTACTTTCCCTCCACCAGAAGTTTGTGCACAGGAACTGCTGCTGGGCGTGTGGCTCTTACTTGAACTGAGCACATCAGACTCAGAGCTGCCAGGACAGTCAAACACCACAGACTGTTGCTACCAGCAGAGCCACTGAGGATCAGAGCTAGATAAGATACTGACTCTCATTTTGCAGTAGAGAAATTCCTCTCTGAGGTGTAAAAGGTTTGGCCAGTGCCCAAGACTTTCTTCTCATACAGAACTGTCAAATCAGGGCAGCAGTTTCTTCATTTCCCCTCTGTGCATTGGTCCCAGTGAACATGCAGAGCCCGAACCATATTTTCTTATCTGGTTCTGTTTATACACAAATACAATTTATACCTCTCTTTAAGGTCTTTGTGGTTCTATTGGCATAGAGCATTAAGAAAAGGGCCAAATAGGTACCTGAGAAACTAGAATAGGAGCTTCTGAGAAGACCAGATGAAATTTAGGAGTCCCCTCAATCTGTATTTTTTCCCTAAAAACCTTCAAAGATGAGTATTGCTTGAAAAGAAAGATGATCAGTTGGCAGCTGTTTCTTTATACTCTGATTTATCTTAAGCCTGACCCCCCCCCCATGATTCATGAAATTTGAAAGACATTCAGATTGATCCCTGGAGATACTGAGAAGTTTCGATTAAAGACAAGCATTGAAGAGAAAGTACCCTCAGTCTTGAAGAAGTTGAAGGGGACCATTTAGTTCTAAAGTCATATTGTTCCAGAATTCTGGGGAAGCTTTGTAGTTTGAAGGCATGAACAGAGGATTCTCACTGCCTTGCCCGGTTAAGCCAGATGCTTATGATACGCCCTCAAAAAACAGGCTGATAAATATAGGCTTATAGTTTTTTTTTTAAATAAGCAGTAATTGAGAAGAAAGAAAACATTTACTGTAAGAATATTCATTGAATTAAGTGAACAGCTGATTCCTAGTAAAACTGTGTTCAGTCATTTATTTATTCATGTCAAAAATATTTATTGAGCAGCACCTATGTGCCAAAAACTTAGTATAGAGCAATGAGTAAGATACATAAGCTGACTGCTGTCATGAAGTTCACATTCTAGAATGGACAGATGAGCTAGATCAGTTCATGTAGTGGTAAATACCCTGAAGAAAAGATGAGTGCTGTGGTATAGTGATGTTTGGGGCAGTGGTGGTGGAGGTGATAGTAATGGTGGTGTGTATGTTAACAGGTGGGAGGGACTCTTTTTCTTGGATTCAGTTTGGAGGAGAGTCTTCCCTGATGGACTTGAGATGAGATGAGATCCCAGGAAGAAAGGTAGATGGTTCTGGCAAAAGAATCACAAGCCCAAAAGTCCTGGGAATAAATGGCATGTATGGGAAGCTCAGTTGGAAGGCCAGCATGGCCCTGGCCAAGCTAGGGAGAAGGAGACTTGGAGGAGTGAGGAAGCAGAAGGGAAGCAGAAGCGAGGTCATGCTAAGTCTCACAGGCTGGAGCAAACCATTTAGAGTTATTTTTCTAAGCACAGTAGAAGCCAAGAATGGTGTTTAAGCAGAGGCATCACATCACAGATTCATGTTTTCTATGAAAGTGCTGTGGATGCAGTGTGGAGAATGAATTCTAAGGGAAGAGGAGGAAGGAGACTAGCTCTAAGTTTATTGATGGTGACCTAGTGGAGGGTGACAGCAGTAGATGGGCATACGCTCCTTTTTTTGGAGCTACGGTGGGAAGTTAATATTTCTCTGTCTCAAATCCTCCATCCACAAAATGGGGCCGGCATTGGTGTCTAGACCATTTATTCTGTAATGACATGTAAGCAATACCCTTAAGGGTAATGTGGGTAATGTAACATTTATAACTATTTGCTAATATTGTGTTACTTTGAAGGATCTGTGCTTCAGTTTTACAATTTGTTCTAATAAATTTCAATGCATATTTTTATTCTGCTCCATAAATATAACTTGTTATACATAGAAAATATTCTCTGTTCAGAGGTTTGAAAACCCTTAACTAAGAGTTACCTATAAAACACACCATCAGGGGCTGGGAATGTGGCTCAAGCAGTAGCACGCTCGCCTGGCACACGTGCCGCCCAGGTTTGATCCTCAGCACCACATACAAACAAAGATGTTGTGTCTGCCGAAAACTAAAAAATAAATATTAAAATTCCCC